CATCAACATCCTAGCATGGATTCACCACAAGGTTGATTCATTAGTTTGCTCCAAATCTCTCCTATCCCAAAACAAGCACCCTTCTAACAACCTTTCCAAAAAATTATTACCAAAAAGCCTGTTTTCATCTATCAACAACCCGCTTTCGTGAAACCACCACTTTCTCAACCACAATCGAACCATTCTTGTCCCAATGAAGTACAAGAAACACAATTCGAGTAAACAAAACAAGTCAAAGCTAAAAGGCAAAAGCCTAAACCTGTTCCAACGGGAGCGATGGATTGGAAGGAACTTGAAGAAACCACTTTAGCTAACGCTTGGATTGCGGTTAGCGAAGACATGATCAAAAGGAATGCACAAATGGGAGATAGTTTTTGGGGCACTGTTCGAAACATCCTACATCCTATATGAACAAATAGATCAAGTCGGGTATCGAACGAACGAGAAATTAACTTCCAAATGGCATGACATGAGGTTAAAATATCAAATTTAATGGAACTCACAACAATCCCAAGAATATGCACAAGAGTGGAGCAAACAATTTTGATGTCTTTGCCGCAATGCTTAAGAAATACCAAGAGTCACAACCAACTCGGAAAACTTTTTCGTATTTGAATTCTTGGTTTGAGTTGAATTAATGTCGTAAATTGTTTCCTACCAAAAATTTGGTTTGTTTCGGTTCGAAGTGCTCGAGAAAATCCCAATCACGTAGCCAATCACAACAATCATACGGATGGACGTTTATCAACATCAACGATGGATGAGTTTCAAGATGAAGAACTTCTACGTCAGCCCGTTGGAAGACATAGAGCGAAGTAAATAGCTTCCGACTCTAGTTTGAAAATTAAAGGGCTAACAATATCGATCAATTTGATAAGAAATTTGATTGATACGTCCAATTTCAAAAGCAAAAGTTGAGATCATGGAGGAAGCAAAACAAGTTTATAAAGAAACGCAAATTTTTAAACAAAAAAAAATGATTTAAAAATTTTGAAGATGAAAGCCAAAGATTACGAATGAGAGGATTTAGAAATATTCATTGCGGTCGAAGAAAACATCAATATAGGTACACGTAATTTTATTTTTCATTGGTATTTTTTCATGTTTTTTCGGGTTTTTGTTTTTAATTTTAATCTACATAATTTTTTTATTTCAATGAAAATGCAGTATTTTTATTAGATTTAGTTTTAAACAAATTACTTAATTAAAAAAAATTAAAATAAGATAATTTGATAACGTGGATCGATGGATATATCAAGTTCAATATATTGTTTGTGTGGTGATGAAATTAAGTGATGTAATCTTCAAATGGTCAAATGGTAGTGTATATATATATATATATATATATATATATATATATATATATATATATATATATATATATATATATATATATATATATATATATATATATATATATATATATATATATATATATATATATATATATATATATATATATATGCTAATAAAAGAATAGTCAGTTTGTCATGTATCACTATATTAGAACTCTTAATTAATATGATGTCACTTATCAATCTATTAATTATCCCTTTTAAATTTATTAGACCTCCTAATTAATGTGATGTTATTTGTCAATATATTTATTCTCCATTTTAAATTTTAAATTTTATATCATTGTTTTCATTAATTCACAAATAAAAAATATCTAATATATATTAAAAATTAATTATATATATTTATTTGAATTAACGATTATAATTTCACAAAACTAATAAAAATATATCATAATTAATAATTTATTTAAAATAATTAATTATTAATTTTGAGGTTTTACTATATATATATATATATCACTATTCTAATAAAAGAATAGTTTTAATATCCTTTAGACATGTATCATCATATTAGGCCTTTTAATTAATACATGTTTTATTCATATTTTGTCATGTATCACTATATTAGACCACTAATTAATGCATACTACTTGTCAATTTATTAGTTCTCCATTTCAAATTTCAAATTTTAAATTTCTCACTCTAATTAAATTAAATTAATAACATTAGAATAAAATTAAAATAAAATTAATACATATTATAGTTGATATAATATTTCATATATTTATTTAAATTAGTGATTATAATTTTATATAACTAAAAAAATATTTGTTGATTAGTAATTTATTTAAAATAATTAATTAATAATTTTTGAACTCTCACTAAGAAAATTTAATTAATTTTGTAACCGTGGTTTCCATGGGTTATAAACTAGTATATATATATATATATATATATATATATATATATATATATATATATATATATATATGTTTATACTTCTATTAACAAGTGTCATAATATTAAAAATCATCATTAATATTATATGCCACATGTCAAACTATTCATTCTCCATTCAAAATTTAAATTTTAAATTTCTCACTCTAATTATATTAAATTAATAATTGATTCTCATTTTAAATTTTAAATTTCGCATTCTAATTACATTAAATAATAACATTAGAATAAAAAAATTAATATATGTTATAAGATGATATAATTTAATGTATTTATTTAAATCAACAATTATAATTTTATATAACTAAAAGCATATCTCTTAAATAATAATTTATTTGAAATGATTACTTAATAATTTTAAGTGAAAGTTTAATTAATTTTATAACCATGGTTTTCACGGGTTATATATATATATATATATATATATATATATATATATATATATATATATATATATATATATATATATATATATATCCCATGCCATGTATGATTCATTTATTTTACATAACCAACCCTTATAATTTACAATTTTGTTCTTTTAATTTATTTATATCTCAGAGTTTATTTTTTATTATAAAAAACTGTAAATTTGACCCTTAATATATATTATATGTAAATAAGTTTATTGAAAATATATAATTAATTCTAATTATTATTTTTAGTAACTTGCACAATTAATATATATCTCACAAATTCATATGAATAAACTCCAAAATATCATCTATTCAGCATATGTGCAAAAACATGTTAAAAAACAATTGTGAGTGTTCATTAAACTCAAAGAAAGTAAATAATTAAATTGTTGTGTTATTGTGAGCACCACACAAAAAAGAAAGTTTTTCTAAATATATGAGAGAAGTAAAAATAAAAGCTCAAACTTGAAGCTTGGAAATATTTAAAACAATTCAATAAAAGACAAATCGATTAGTTCGTGTAGTGACCTTACATTTAATATAATTGTGCAGCTTTTTATAAAACATAGTAATGCACTAGAGAATTGCAATACACATCTACCATCAAACAACTGACATCTAAATTGCAATACACATCTACCATCAAGCAAATAAATGACGTCTATTTCGTAACCGGGACACTCAAACTCATAGCTATATTTTAACCAAGTCAATTAATGGAGGTTTCAACAAAAATGTCACAAAGTTAAGATAAATGACACCGGAGGAAATATGCATATTGTCCATTATTTTCATCAAACATGCAATTGTGGCAAATGACCAATGGAAAGATTCTCATGTTCTCATGCTCTGTGAGTTGTCGTTATAGAGGGGATAATACTCTTTCTATCGTTAATAATGTGTATACTGCAATGACATATAAAAATCAATGTAATTATTATGTTTACATCGTATTTAGTTTGACAATATTTTTTTTGTACCAGTTACTTCGTGGGCTAATATATGTACACTCTGCAAATGCTTTACACCGTGATTTAAAACCAAGTAACTTGCTTTTGAATGGAAATTGTGATTTAAAGATTTGTGACTTTGTGCTTCCTGTAAAGATTATGTTCAACAATTGCCTTTGTTTCCTGGTAAATATTATGGTCAACAATTGGCTCTTGCACTTTGTTTATTAAGAGTTGCATATCTATTTGGAGTTTGTGTTTTCTTGTTTTGCGGAAAGGTCATGCATATGAATATGTAGATCAAATTTTTGTTAGATTTGATTAGACAACGATTGGTTTGAATCTATGTACAAAATATATTTTGAGGGGTTTTTTTTTTTTTTTTTTTTTTTGGCTATGATCAACTACAGATGTTTGATGGAAATGAGCTTCACCACATAACATTATATTATATGAGGGGCGAAAGTGGTTACTCACTTACTTGCAACTGGAAAATCTAAAACATGTTTTGATGTCATCATGGCAAATGTTTAGGTTCTATTAGATTATTAATAAAATGTTTATTTAATTTTTTTGAACTATAAAAATATCAATATGGGTTAAGCAGTGAGGTCGCTAAGTAGGTAAATTAATCGGTCGATACAATGTCAATAGTTATTATAGCTAGTGTATTAATTTAAAAAAAAAATGTGATATTCAGGTATCCCTGAATTTTTTTATGCCTACCTAATACCCAAACTAATTAAATATCCAGTTCTATCCACCTAATCTACTTGAATTCATACTCGATTGGACGAGTAGGTCGGGTTTTGGTTATTTTCAACAGGCCTACTAGACAGGCCTGACAATATTTTGAGGTATTAGCATGTAATGGAGTTATTGTTTTTAGCCTCATCATGATATTTAGCCTCATCATGATATTGATGCTTTAATTCTTGATCATTATAATTATATATTGGTATATCCTCGAAATTCTCCAAAGTATACTACAAGTTCGTGTCAAAACATATGTTTAAACGAATTAGCTAGCTAGGTATTGTACTTAATGAAGGTGATATGAAAGCATATGCTGCTAAATATTCAATATTCCCTTGGTAACATACAAATTTACCAAAGGCTTTTGAAAGCTAGCTGGTTTAACTTTTTCTGATATCATACAATTCGACCTAGCCAAAAAGAATATACGTTTTGCTTAATGGGATTAAGGAACAATTAATTATGTGTATCCTCATCAATGTAATATTGTAGGACACCTTCAAAATAAACATAGATAAGTAAATTTTTTGTTAATTATATATATAGGACCTCTTCAATTATTTCAGTACATTATATAGATTGATCTTCCAAACAACAAAAGATCAACATTAATACTTTTTCTACTATCCATAGAGTTCGGATGGAAGGCGTGGGGTCAGGAGGGCCTTTAATGGCTTCTTTTTTGGCATGGTCAACCCAGGGCTCTCAGTCATGTCGATCGGGAGACCTCTAGGAAGACCTAAATCAAAAGAATGAACAAGACGAGCCAACGTCAAATGAAGCACCTGGATCGCAAGCGTGGCTCCAGGACAAGAACGTCGACCTGACCCAAATGGGATGAGGACAAACTGATGTCCTCTCAAGTCGACATGTTCATGTTCTTCACCCATAAACCTCTCGGGTTTAAATTCAGATGCATCAGTCCAAACCTTCTCATCCCTTTGAATCTTCCACACATTAACTATCAACCGAGTCCCGGCTTTTAAATGGTACCCTGAAACAGTACAATCTTCCATCGCTTCCCTCGGTCCTAGAAGTGGGCCCCCAGCAGGATACAAACGTAAAGTTTCTTTAATAACGGCTTGAAGATATACGAGGTTGTTGATGTCGGTTTCAACGACTTGTCTCTCTTTACCAACTTTGTCGTCTAGTTCATGTTGCAATTTAACTAGATGATCGGGATGGTTTAGCAACAATGAGATAGCCCACGTTAGTGTTTCAGCCGGTGTATTGCCACCTCCTAACATCATCGACTGTAAACATTTGGAGAAGATTAATGATCGATCCACACAAGATACAACTTATTATATATAGTATATTAGTATAAGTTACCAAGCATGTAGATTTGATGCTGATATCTGAATTATACTGTAAACCGGAGAGCTTTCCTTCTTCTTCAAGAGACAACATCACGTTTACAAAATCGTGTTTATTTCGTTTTGAATCTAATTTCCGATTGAGCCTATGTTCATCGAGCCACCCACCGAGCACGAAATCCAGATCCTTTGCTGTCTTTTTCATCTGCTTCACATATCCATCAAAATCCAACCACCCTAAAAAGGGAATTGCGTCTGATGCCACGAATATGCCAATCAAACGAAAGAATTCATTGAGGGCTTTCTGGCACCTTCTGGCCTCATGGCTGTCGGCTTCCACACCATAATACCGCTTTCCGGCTACCATCATCGTAATTATATTTAACAACATGGGTTCCAACCATTTGATCAAATCAACAACAAAAGGCTGACGTCCACCGTTTTCCACCCATCGCCCATAGAGCTCTGTAATTCCTGAATTAATCTCCGACGAACGGACATCTTTTTGCATCTCGAGGCGACGGTTGGAGAGGAGCTCAAGGGTGGTGATCTTCCGCATCTCACGCCAAAAAGGAGTGTATGGGGCGAAGCCAAATATGGCATAGTTATAGCCCATGTGCTTCACGGCGGCGGTTTTGGGTCGAGAAGCAAGTGCTTTGTCGTTTACGGTGAAGCATTCTTTGGCTACTTCCCAACTGCTGACCACGAAAGCACGACGGGTTCCAAGCCGGATATTGAACGTTGGCCCATATTTGTCTGCGATGGCTCCTAGTGTTCGGTGGAGAAGCTGGTTACCACCACCAAGTAGATGGAGGTGTCCGATGATCGGCAATGCACCTTCCACTTCACGAGCTTCTCTTGCCGACTGTTTGGACTTCATTCGAGTACTGCAAATTACTAGGTAGAAGATGCATAATACAAAAACAAGTAACATGATTAGTTCGGGTGAATAAACCATAGTGTATGTATTAATGATGTAGGGGAAAAGATAAAAGACTCCATGCGACTTATATATATTGTGTACAACAAAAAAATACAAAAAAGAATTACACAATTCGTTCGGCAGAATAATTAAAAATCGTGGAAATGTTAAATAGAATTTAAAATTTAATTATGTAATAAATAATATATTATTAAGTTAAAAAACTTATATTGTGTTATTTATAAAGTTTGTTTTGTATATGATGAAATTGGCTTTCTATTCTTTAAAATATATTAATAATATAAAATGGATAAAACTAAACTTAATCAAATTTTAAATTCATTGATTACATATGTACAATTTCGATCGACCTTTTAAGTTTTTACTTGTGGTTTCAAAAAAAATTACAAAATTTTTTATATGTATAAAAAGATGATATTTCTGAAAAAAAAATTATATGCATTGATGAATTTATTTAGTAATAATATGTTGTTTTAGAGAATGGTTACAAACTTTCCAAATGATTGAAAACTCAAAAGTGGTTGATGTATTACTAACATACAAAAAAATAAAAATAAATAACTTTTACTGTACTAAAATACTAATGTATTTCATAGTATATTAGTAAGAATTACATAATTTCTCCTTATGTTAGTCAATTGACAGAACAATTAGAACAACTTTGGTGTTATTAAATTGGGAAAATGATATAAATGCCCTACGAACTTTCTACGGTTTATCTTTTTAATCCCTAAACAACTTCTGTGGCCTTATGAGGGAACGAAGTTGTGCTTGTCGGGTCAATTACATCATTTTGACCAAAGTGAAGGGGTCACCCAGTTATATCTTTGATACATTGACATTTGTTGACCAATTTTCTTATATTAGCTTTGAATTTTCCCTACTCTTGGACTCTCTCTCTCTCTCTGTGTGTGTGTGTGTGTGTGTAAAACCCTGTTTATTTATTAAATAAATAAATAAATTTATGAAGATATAGCAGCCTAAAATCAATAATTTTGTAGCAGGGTGTTGGTTACGAGGAGCTATTGGTCATAATTTGGAAGTTGAGGGTTAAAAGGGTAAGCTTCGGACCCCGTTTATAAATATTTATGAAGATAGGGACTCCGAGGTAATTATTTGGAATTAATTTAAAACGAAAGGATGTGGAAGGGATGAATATGTCATAACTAAGATATTGGGTGTTGTTTGGTAAATTTTGTACCTAAGATGTAAAGGATTAATGCGGAGGGTAAAATGGTAAATATTTGAGTTATTTTGAATGAAATGGGGGATGGAGGGACCATTCGGTTATTATGGAAACAAGTGTGGGGATCGGGGTATTTAAACCCGTCACTCCCTGGTTGCCCTAGCCCTAGCATCGTTTCCAGCCGCCAACACATATTCGAAGTTTTCTCAGCCGCCACCTCCATTCCATTGCATGAACGGTGGTCTCTTCTATTGCCGGTGAAGTCAGGGTCGAGGGTGAAGCACCTGCGTGGTCGGAAGCTTCAAGATCGGGGGATGATGTTGTTGTTCTCCGATGGAGGCGACTTCCATTATCCCGCTGCTTTCACCACCGTCGAAGGCGAAGAATGGTTTGAGGAGTCACGACAGTAGGTAGTCAGAGGAGTACCCTGTGGTGTCGTGGCTGCTGTTTCTGGTGGGAGTCGCCCACCTCTTCTCTCCTCATCTTCGCCTGTTAGCGTATCCTTTCTCCATGGGTTTGGTGTTTGGCCACAGTCACGACCGCCGCCGCAAATCGATGCTTAGGTTGTTGCTACGAGTTGTTGATTCCACCGTTATACACCACCAAGTGGTGGTTGCATCCGGGAGTCCGAGCAAGGTGGTTGCCGTCCTAAAGCTGTTGTTATCACCATGAATGTTTCCTTGCCGCCGTTAGCCATTGTTGGTGTTGCCTTCTCAAATCGATGTCATCGCATTTTAGCCATCAGGTGGGTGGTTGGATTCTTTTTCGAGCAGGAGATGTGGGTGTGTGTGGTTCAGATGCTATCATGGCATGTGAATCATCGTTCCATCGTGTTGTGTGTGAGTTTTGTTGGCTGGTCGGAGATTTAAGAGTGAGCCACCATGGCAGCCAACCATGGTGGGTGTTGCCATTTGTTTTCTGCCACCTTTGACCACCGTGTGTGGGTGGCAGTGGGCATACATCGGTGTGTGGATGTGTATTTTACAATGAAATATAGCATGAAGTATGTGTGTATGTTATGCATATCTGGAAATCAAGGATAGCCACCGCCACCACCGCGAGGTGGTGGCTGCCGCCATATACCACCATGGGTGGGTTTATTTCGTGCGTATGTGTTTGTAATTAGATTAGGGTGTGCGTGGGTTGATCGGATGGACATTGTAACTGTAACAAATCGGATTAATGAAAGAAAAACAGAGAACCACCACCTTAGGGTGGTGGCTGCCGCCACCGACCGCCGTGTCGGGTGGCGGTGCGCTTTGCCTCTTGTGATAGATTCGTTTGGGGTGCTAGAAACCCTAATGGGCTCAAAGGAGCTCTAATGGGCCCAATGAAGCTTAATGGACTCTAATGGACCCAATTAAACCCATATGGACTTAATATTATTCTAGTGGGCTTAATAGGCCCAATAAAGCCCTAATTGACCTAAAAGCCCAACACATTGGTAAATGGGCTAATAATTGGATTGGAAAACCCGAATGCCAAGGAAAACCCTAATATTAAGAATTAATCGGGTCACACACACAAGAATTATTTAATAACTTCATATATTAAATAATAATCATTGGTACAGATTAATCTAAGTGATATTGGACTTAATGGATTAAGTCCTTAATGGGTTAAGTAGGAAACTTAACCCTAATCGGCATTTTATGTGAAACCCTAACTTCACTTGGGCTTATTGTTGGGTCTTTCTAGTGGGCCTTGATGATTGGATTATTAATGGGCTATCCGAGAATAATTATATGGACTAAAATAATTTAATGGGCCTAGGGTAAGTCCCATGTAAGGGGTTGGGCCCAATTTGGAATATTAGGCCATAGATGGGCCATAGTTGGGCCTTAATGATTGTATAATGTTGGGCCTTAGAATAAGACCATGTATAGGCTTGGTCCCAATTTGGAAAATTGGGCCATATGATGGGCTTTGAATCATAATTGACTTTGGGCCTACGGATTGGGCCTTGGGCTTGAATAAGCCAATCTTAGGGTAATGTAGTAATTATCCAAGTATGTATTTATGGTTATGTGTGGGGACCCAATTATTAATTGGGTGTTATTTTGATGTTGACAGATCGGGAATCTGTCATCTAGCAGCTGGGGTCGAGTCTGCGGGACTTCAACAGTGTGGGATTGAGTCTGCGGGACTTTAGCAGTGTGAGGTGAGTTTCCTTCCAGTAGGAACGGGTCTAAGGCCACAATGCTGGCCCGTTAAGTTAGTAGTAGTTTCCGGACTTCGGTCCGATGCAGTTTTTAGTGTGTTTGATGCTTTCGTGGCTCAGACAGGATTTATGTGTTATGTGTTCTAGGCTACGGCCTGACGTAGTATGTAGTATATGAGTTTATGATGATGTGTGTTATGCTAGTTGATATGTGTTTATGCTATGCTATGATCAGTTAGTTCCGGACTTCGGTCCGATGCAGTCAGTTCCGGACTTCGGTCCGATGCAGCTAGTTCTGGACATCGGTCTGATGCAGGGGACAAGGTCCCAGTCAGTTCTAGACTACGGCCCGATGCAGTTTCCGGACTTTGGTTTGATGTAGTGGGCAAGGCCCAGTAGATGCTTTATATGTTATTGTATGGTATGTGGTACTTTGGGGGAGCTCACTAAGCTTCGTGCTTACGGTTTTCAGTTTTGGTTTCGGGTACTCAATTTCCAAAAGAGGAGCTCGGGAAGATTGCAGTGCACACACCATTTGTTCAGCCTGGGATGTTTATACTCTGATGTATTTGACAGTTGTTAATATATTTTGAGATACATTCCTTATGATTCTTATATGACGTTTGATGAATATGGTTTTATTACTAATTTAAAACGAAATTTTCAGACTGTGTTTTTGGGATGTTACTCTCTCTCTCTCTCTCTCTCTCTCTATATATATATATATATATATATATATATATATATATATATATCTTTTGGACTTTGTGAAAGTCAACTTTTCCCTCCCTCCTACTGAATTACTGCCAAGGAACGAAGGGGAACAAGAGCGGTCAAGGATTGTTACCCTCGACCACCCATTGCCACCGGGAACCACCAAGAGTCACCGCCAGCACCCACACCCACCATCGTGCTCTCTTGGGCTGCCAACGCAACCCACACCCACCATTACCTATGTTGTTGTCGGAAACATCTTTCCCGATCTCCCTCTCATCTCCAACTAATCACTCCGTCGAGCAGAAGCCAAAACAAACTAGAAGGAGTCCGCCATAGCAAAATTTCAAAGGAGTTATATCAAAACATCTTTCTAAGTCTTACCATACCAGGACTCATTTCGCAAGGCAAGCTAGGGACAAACCTTTAGCAGATCCCTAAACAAACAAATCAAATTCAATAATCAAAAATTTTGATGCCATTTTTTGTGCCTGAAATTGAGAGTGGAAAAAAGGGGATTTCAATTTTGAATGTACATGCGTTCTGACGACGTCATCGTAGAAGCCTTCGATGTGACTTTGCCCTATAATCCTCTTCCTGTTAATGAATCAAAAACATGATATCAATACATCAAAAACGAAGGGGAAACGTGAAGTAAACATTGTAAATGGAAGCGGAAGCTAACGCATTGATGAAAAATCCGGCATCGGAAAGACATTTCACTTTAGTCGTCGCCAGTAATTGTGACCGGAAATTATCGCACTGCAATATCGAAATCAATCCACCAGCTGAACACCCCGCTAGAATGGCCTACAACATGATTTGTTTTTTTGTTAATTAGTTATAAGGCAGTGGTGGTGTTAATGATGAGAATGC